AGGGTGGGTTGGGTTGGAAGGGACCTTCAAGCCCATCCAGTGCCACCCCCTGCCATGGGCAGGGACACCTCCCACCAGCCCAGGTTGCTCCAAGCCCTGTCCAGCCTGGCCTGGGACATTCCAGGGCTGGGAAGCCTCTGGGCTCTCTGGATTTGCTGACTGTCATTCCTGCTGGCGTTCCAAGCCTGCCTTGGGCAGTGGTTCCCAAACTCTGTGCTCTGAACATTTGTTCCTCCCCAGACTTTTGATTTCCTTTCTGGAAGAGCAGTTGTCAGGCCGGGCTTGTTTTGGTTTCCAAAAGCTGACACCAGAAGAACTTTCCCATTCTGTTTGATTGGAGTATAAATATGGATGTGTTCTGTCCTAAATATTTCATGGGCGAAAGCTGTATTTTTTAATGCTCACCTTAGTGGCACAGCAGTACTTCCCCCCCCTCCACTTCCCTGCCCAGGGGGCTTTGCACTGCTGGAAGTGCTAAAAGCACTTTGCTGAGCCCCTGCTCCCATGGGACAGGGCCTTCCCCAGGGAAACATCCCTGGGACAGCTGGAGAGGGAATGTGAAAATGGATCTTTATAACCCAAGTCCCTGCTTGCTTCCTTTCTGTCTTCACCCAGCAAAGTCTCTCCTTTTCCCTGGATGAGGAGTGTTCCTGGTGAACAGCAGGGGATGAAACCTTCCCCTTCCATGTTCATTCCACGGGGCAGGACCTTGAATCACCCGAGCTCGTGCTCTCCCTGGATGCCAGAAGAGCTGTCAGGGAGGCCCAGCATCCCTGTGTATTATCCCTGAGGGAAAGAAAAGGGAAATCCTGGATTTGAATGGCACTTTGGAAGTGAGAGATGCCAAGGAAAGCCCCCGGGAGCTGGATTGATCCCTGTCCTTCCCTGGAGCAGTGGGCACCTCGGAGGGTGCTGCTGGCAGGGATCTGCACTTCCCCACGAGTTTCTCACTCAGCCTCCTTGGGGAGCTTCCCAAAGCTGCCAGAGAAGAATCCAGGCCTGGGGAATCCCATCCCAACACCCTTCCTACCTGTGTTAACCCGACCTAGGGCTGTGCTCTGCTTTGTGTGCCTGGAATGGAGCTTGGCACTGGGAAGGGCTGGATCCCCCTTTCCTCTGGGGCTGGGCTCTCTCCCCTGGTGCCTGGTGGCCTGGCTTGCTCCATGTGGATTGATGGTGTACCTGGAATGCTCACAGGAGGACAACCCCCCTGGGGAAGCAGCATCCATGTCCTGTGGTGCTCCAGGAGGATGCACAGACACCCAGGCTCAGTGGGACCTTCCCACCACAACATGGGATCCAGGCAATGGGTTCTGGGAAAACTGTTTCTGCTGGGGAAAACATGGACTTCTCAAACTTCCCCTCTGGATAGAGCTGGGTCTGGTTTTTCCTTCCCAGCAGCTGCTCAGAAGTCCCTTGAGCAGCTCCACAGATGTTGTTCACAGCTCCAGATTCTTCACATCAGGACGACTCAGTCCTGCCCAGGTTGAGCCCAGAGGGATGGAGCCTGAGCCCAGGATGTCATTCCAAGGCTGCCTTTCCCAGTGCCCTGACAATGCCGGGCCACTGAAAGGCAGGGATGTGGTGTCAGTGCTGCTGGAAACCCGCAGACATTTCTGTCAGTTCTGCAGGGCTGGACACTTTGATCCTTTGTGCTCTCAGATTCCCACATGGAGGCTCATTCCAGCACGAGGAAGAGCAAAAAACTGCACCTTAAAGAAGAAAGGGTGAGGGAAGATAAAGAACCTCAAAGCAGGAGCCATTGCTCGAGATCTGGAGAGGAACATCAAACTCCGAGGCGGAATCTGCTCTTAAAACCTCCGAAGGCTTTCCAGGGAGAACACATTTATCTCCTGGACAATGGGGCTCCACGATTTCCCACCTCATGCCAGGGAAGTATCCAACAAAAGCCACGGGCTTGAACAGGCAGACTTGTTGCTTGATGGTTTCAGATCTCTCCGTGGGACCAGCAGGAAAACAGGGTCTATTGTGAGATCTCTGACACTGAAAGTTTTGTGTCACCTCAGGAAACTTTTTCAAATACTTTGTGCCCTCAAAGGGGATCTGGAGGTTCAGTGGCAGTTTGGAGATGACGCATTAGGAACTGGCCTCAAAGTCTTGTCTCTGTCAGTGGTTTTTAAGATTAATCCAAAGCCTGTAATGAATTCCTGTCTGTGCACTGCAGTTGGAGGGAATAAGGGAATGAACCCAATAACTAATCAAAGGCCCTGTGGGGGTGTGGGAGGACACCACGAGCACAACTACAAAGCTTTTCGTGTCTCTCTGATCATCCTTGGATTTGAATTGCTGCAAGAGGCACAAAGCTGTCCCTTGGCTGAGCACAAGGTGCCACCAGAGCAGACCCACAGACTGGTCTGTCCCTCACCTGCTGCTGCAGGAGCCAGGTATTTCTGGGGCAGCCTCTTCCTCAGGAATTTCTTCCTGGAAAGGGTTGTCAGGCACTGGAAGGGGCAGGGATAGGTGGGATATTGGGAAGGAATTGCTGGCTAGGAGGGTGGGGAGGCCCTGGCTCAGGTTGCCCAGGGAAGCTGTGGCTGCCCCTGGATCCCTGGAAGTGTCCAAGGCCAGGTTGGAGCAACCTGGGC